AAGACCTGTCGGTCTTCCATCATGAAATCCGAGAAACCCCCGAACATGTAAAGCATGGACACGTTGGTGGGGGTTGTTGAAGACTCAGGTCCCCTTGTAGACCTCTCATTATGGCATATCCCTTTGGTTCTTTATGATGCAAACTAGAAAGGGGTTCTGAACCTTAAACCTTTGATTTCCAAGCCAAACCCCGAGCATTGAACCTTTAACCTGACCAACCCGAAACGCAACACCTATTCCTAAAGCCTACGTTCTATGAACCCTGACCCTTGCATCTTGAACTAAACTCTGAGTTCTGAAGCCTAAGCCCCAAGCCCTAGGTTGCGATCTGCCCCAGAAGATAGGTCGCTCGCGTCTTCATCTTGATGGCTTGTGTGCTGCCGGCGGTGACGCTGTGTGGGTGCGGACGACAACTACGCTGAGCGTTTGTTTGGTTTAGGGATTCGGGACTTACGCAGGCTTTGGGGTTCAGGGTCGTGGAAGTTGTGGAGCCATAGCAGCTATAGCCTTGGGCTGAGCGGCCTCATGTTGGTTGGAGGTTTGAGGGCAGAGGTTCAGGGCGTTGGGTTGCTGGGCTTGTTATGGGGGTAGGTTGTGCATACAGTTTGGACTTTGAGCCTAGCACTACGGCTGTGCAGCGTCAGAAACTAAACGTCCTGGACTCCAGTGCCTCGACGATCCGAAGACTTTGTAAGTGTGTTGAGAGCAACACTTCCAGTCCTTTCGGGACGACCCTCATTAGTATGTGGCGTCCCGATCATTCGGTGTTCCTTGTCAGGGTGTCTTTCTAGTCGTGTTCCAGCAGCCCTTTGCGCTTTCCTTTTGCACCCAGTACGGGCTCCTACACATTGGAGCAGAAGGGTTGGGGATGGTGTATGATTTCACGATATTCCTGCATCTTTTCTCTTTCACCCCGAATCCAGGAGACGCTTTCTGCGAGAGTCCCTGTTAGAGACATGTGATGATGGAGGCTTCCCATCCTCATCCTCGGCGGACTTGGCCCTTCAAGGGCTGCTGCCCCAAGCGAGGGCTCGAAAGGTTTTGAGGGGCTTTCGGGACTGCAGCTTTTGACTTTCCTGGCTTGTTTTTGCTGAATGGGTTTATTGTCGAGTAGTTTTGCATGTGTTGTTAGTCGAATTGTCAAACGTCATCCGCTTTGCTGTGGGCGTTTGGAGCTGTTACAGGCCCAATAGGGTTTGAGGTTTCCGCTCAGATGTTTGAGGGCTTAGCGTTTCCGCTTTGAGGGGCAGTGTCCTTCTGGCCTGTGCGGCTTGAAATCCCTAGACCGAAGCTGCATCGGTTAATGACTTCGCGGGCTATTCAGCTTCTCGGGCGCAGGGTTTTAGATCGATCAGCAGTTTTGCAGGATTGGGGCCAGTTGGACCTAAGCGAGTTCAACGCGGAGTGGGACGATGATACATGATTCGATCAGGGTGGCCTGCGTGGATCAACGGATGAAGGTGGACGCTCAAGGCAATGCCTGAGCACTGTCGCCGTGACAGAAGGCCAATCTGACAGCTCATGTGCTGTTTTGGAGGAGTTGAGACCTTTCGGATCTACGGTGTGGATTCTCAGGGTTTAGGAGTTCGGGGTTGGGCGGAGGGGTTGTAGTTTTAACATATGTTTTGTGTTTTTCCTGGCTTGGGTGTAGGACACTAGGGGAGCTTTAGGTTTCTGGTTTTGGGGTGTTTTTGGGGTTGCGGAATTTCCGGGTTGAGGATGTTGTTGTTGTGTGGTTCAAAGCTTCGATTAAGGCTTAAGGTTCTGATGCAGTTTCTGTTGCATTTCGAATTGAGGTCTAAGCTGTTCTGGATGCTTGACGGCCTCATGGCTTAAGGGTTGCGGCGTTCGATTCCCTGACTCATAAGCTGTACTAGCTAGCTTGTTCTTGGTGCTCGTTTTGCAGCAGAACCGGAGGAAAAGGCTATCCTCAGCTTCCAGGGTTGCCTGAGAGCCAAACTACGTGAACACGGATTCTACAGGATGCTCAGAATTCAGGGCTTTGGGGTTGTAGGGCTCGTGAGTGCTGCATTTGTACGATCAGGTCTTCAATTTGCTGTTGGCATCGGGGCTTCTTAGATTCGTAGCAACCAGGTGTGCTCAGTGTATGTATGATCCGTCCATCATAGGGATCCTAGGGGCAATCACAAAACCCAGCTGAAGGTGTGGCGGCAGGCATTGGTCGCTTTCCTGAGCGCCACCACAGGCCCACATGGGATTTGCTGAGGTCAGTTTGGACTTGGTTTCGTCAGTTTCATTGTGCTTTAGACGATTGTGCTACTGGTGCAGTGGTTTTTGAAATCTTTGCGGAAGTTTCGATGAGTGAAGGCCAGTGCCTGCTTTTTCCTTGTAGTCATGTTTTGTTCGGCACAGTAAGGCTTCTTCCGCTTGCATGTTTGGGTGACGCCTCTGCTGAGTCCTAAACCAGTGAGTCTCCGAGCTCTAGACCCAAGCATGCCAAACATCTTAGGCATTCATCCAAACCTAAAAGCTGTTAGATTATACCCTGCATCGTTAATCATTCACCGGCAACAAGCCTAATTTCGGATGGCATCGGTTCTTCGGAAATGTGGCTTCTCCATTAGGGTCTGGGTGCACACCTGTGCACAGCGTTCTCGCTGTTGAATATTGAAGTTAATGACTGTTTGACCTGACGCTTCAATTGCAGCAGAGCTTCACCGTACTTAGAGGCTCCTGTACTTCGCAAGACCAACGTCACCCAATGCCCTGAACCCTAAGATTGCACAGCGAACTTTCCAAACCGAAGTCTTAAAAGCCGAAGCCCTCAGATGCTAAACCGCAATCCTGAAACCCAAGACCCAGACCATCCCCCAAACCGAAAGACAAGAAAGCATTACATCAGAACAGAACATCCAAATACATCAGCAACGCCACACGCGGAAATTGAAAGGAAAAGAACACAAGACGAACACTCCCCCCAAAACCCTTAAGCCTCTCTAATTTAACCAAAGCGACCAAAAGAGAGAAAAGAGCCCCCCACCCCCCCCCTCCAAAAAAAAACCAAAAAAACGCGAAATTTCAACCCTTAAACCCCCAAGCCCCTAAACCCTTAAATCCCTATAAGCCCTGAACCGAACGAGCGACAGGTCTGGCCCGGCGTCTCGGCGGCCCTGCGTGTAGCGATCCCGAGCTCCGAAGCCCCAAAGACAGAAGGGGGGAAGTGGGCAGAAGGGGGGTTTAGGGTTTAGGGTTTAGGGTTTAGGGTCTCCATAGAGGACGGGGGTGGCTCAGGAGCGTTTCTGCAGAATTCGTCGGGTTTGGTTAGGGTCTGGGGGGGATAGTTTGCGGCTTCTGTGATCTGGGTGTGGGGCTTTCAGGGTTTCAGGGGTTCGGTTGGGAGGAAGGTTTGCAAGCTTGAGGGTTTCAGGAGTTGAGGATTTGCGTGGCTTCTAAGGTTGTCCCCGTCTCCAAAGGCTAACGCATTCTCTCCGTTTTCTCCGATGATCGGGACTTGCTGCAGGATGATGAGGAAGAAGTCCGAAGGGCATCCAAGGCCTGCGCTGCACGTGTCAGGAATTTGTCCTTCATACTGGTCTCCGCAGCTTTAGGGCTTTAGGGTGCAGGCTCCGGACAAAGTGCTCTTCCGTCTTCACATCACTAGGGGGAGCTAAACCCGATGTGTGTCCTCGCGGGATTACGGCATGAGGCTCAAGCCTTGGGTTCGGTGTGAGGAAAAAGGACGAAGAAAATACCTATTGTTGCCATGTCCAGGAAACTAATGACTTTCTATGTGTGCCAACGGCGTTTTGCTTGTAGCTGCTGTAACTGTGGCAACAAAGACAGCTGGCGAGACCTAACCACGTAGGGCATTCAGGGCTTTCCAGGTTGCGTCTCCCAGGTGTAAGACTTCTCCCAAGCCACCAGCTCACCAATTTCAATCAGCCCCAACCCGAAAATGCTTACGAAGCCCGCCAACGGAATCACCAGTCCCCACAGTCATTAGTTCTGAAGTGGCAACAACCGCCAGACTTGCGATCACCAGAACAAGTATGCAAGCATAGAGTATACTCCTCGGGATGATAGCAGCATCAGTCGCCACAGGTGGCCAGTTCATGACAATCATCACTTCATGACCATCTTCATCTTCATCATCATCATCATCATCACAGTGTGCTGATTAGTGCTCTTCCCCTGCAAACTTATGCTGATGGATGGCGAAAGCAAGAGATGCGACTATTCAAACAAGTCTTGTTTCTGTCATGGTCATAGAGATGCGGCTGGTGTCGCGGCAAACGCTGAGCCTACCACCGTCATCTTGATAGACTCAAGCGTAAGCCGCACAGCCTAAACCCCAACAAAGCTCAATCCCAACCCTTACGCCCTAAACTGCAGACCGAAGTCGAAAGCACCCACTGAGTCAGGTCTTGGGCTGGCCCTTCACCAGACTTGGGCTGGCGGACTCAGAAGTGGACATGCAGCCTCTGAGCGTTCAAGGGTTTTGGGGGTTCTTGTGCTTGCAGGATGTGCGAAGTCGGGCGACGGAATTGCAGGGTATCCTGTTTGGGATAATTAGCAGTGTTCACATGATAACCTTATAAACCCGAAATTCAAAGTCTGAGCTCGACACCCCAAAACCCCCAAACTCGAACCCCGAGCAACTCACTAACGAAACTTTCAGGTTTTAGGGCATAGAAGCCAATGCCAAAGTGCCGGCCCATGGCGCCGCAATGCCATGGGCCTCATCTCGCCGTTCTCATCGCAGTCTTCACTTTGGTGACTAGCTGGGAGGGGGGCCTTCCGTTCAGTGCGCCTGGCAAAGCGCGGAAGTCCCCCTTAAGCAGGCCACAGCCAGTGTCATGAGGGAGCGCAGCGGCCTCGGAATCGGTGCGAGGGTAACAGACACGAAATCTTGGTGTGCTGCTTCGCCAGATGAGGATGCGCTGGCAGGCTCAAGGCTGCTGGCATAAAAAGGCCGCTGGACTGTGTGGCGACTCTACCAGGACTGTACACAAATCGCCGTGCCAGTCCACAGTGCTGCTATGCAGGTTGCATACCGCTGCGGACGTTACTCGGAAGCATCAGAGATGTATAGGAAGTTGCGCACAGTTAACGATGCTGAAATCAACCAAGTCATTCTTGTCCATGGCATCAAGATCTTCGGGAAACTGCATGATGCAGACAGAGTCGAGGCCATTTGGCCGGAGGTTCTTTCAAAAGGGTGGATGGACACATTTCCGGCGACTGCACGGATAGATGCTGCGTCTGAAATGGACGACATCAGGGCGGCTGCATCAGTGCTCGACTATCTGCAGGATGCAAGCTTGCCGTCCGATGAGCCCGATGTCAGTGTCAGTCACTTCTCGTCTGCCATCAATGCATGCAAGAACTCCGATGAGAACCTCAGTTGCATGGCAGCCAATGTCCTTCTGAACAGGACGATTGAAGAAGGCTTGCAGCCCAACTTCGTGACCTTTACTAGCTTCGCCGCAGCTCACAGTTCTGGCTCCTCTGAGACCAAGCGCGTGCTATCCATACTGGCTGAGCAAAAGGTGATTCCTAATAGCCTGTTTGTGGAGTCCTTCTTGGGGGCTATATTCCAAGGTCGCCTCCGCGATGTTTGGAGCGTGTCGGACGTGGCAGAGCGCATTCAGGGCACCAGCCCCGACCGAGTGCAGTTTGCGCTTGACTTTCTGGATGATGTAGAAGCCCAAGGAGTCGATTTCAGTCGATTAACTTTGTTGACGCATAAATGCCTTCGGCGGCGTGCTTGAAGCACTCGCTGTCGTGCATACACCGAGCTCAAGTATCGGTGGTTTTTTAAATCTTCACGGGCCTTCTAGTCAGAAGGTCGCGTACAGAACGCCTGCAGCTACAAGCCATCATCATCAAAATTCTCCGTCCTACCCTGGCCAGAGGGGCCAAAGCATCCAACGTGAAGTGACATAGCGCCCTGCAGCACAGTTTCCGTTCATCAAGCACTTCTTTTCTTGATCACTGTCTGTTCCAGATCCTTGAACCTTCAAAAACGGCTTGAACACGTTGGGATAAGTTTCAGCGTGGAAGCTGCACATACGTTCGAGGCATTTCAGTGTAGCGCATCAGGCAGGTGGTAGGCGTGCACTTTCCAGGGCTGACTTCTTCCAGAGTTTGGGTTTAGGGGTTTATAGTCTATGGTTGTTGGCCCGATGGTGTCTTGGGGACACTGTTGACAGAGGTTTGGTCTTCAGAGTTCAGGGCTCAGAGAAGTTGTTGAAGACAGCGTGCAGCGGGACGTTTCGACACATCGAGATATCGAGCAGAGCCTTTGAGAACGACCCTCACCCTCCCGATAGGATATTAAGAGTCGGTTTGAGGGTTAGGATTGTAGAGTATATGTGGTAGGATACTTAGGAGACTGTAGGGCGTATTTTTGCCTGCGAGGGTAGATAATTGTTACAGGAACAAGTGCCGATGCTTTCAGCGCTACATCTCGGTCATACTTATACGCAGCAAGCTGATAGTTGTTGTGTGAACCAAGTTGAAGGTCAACACCTTACAGTATAAGCCGGACTTAAGCAAGGTAGCCAACATGCAGCGCAAATGAGGACGTATTCAAGGTAAGTCACCCAGAACCCTATTTAGTCCCAATCAGCGTCAGTGAGCGGATGTGGAAGCTGACGTCAAAGACTCACACCAAGAGTAGGAACAGAACTGGAAGAGGTTGTTTGGCCAGTCAAACTTGTTCTCTGATTTGGTCTAGAACCTAATTAATTGAACACCAACCCTTAAACCCCAAGCAGCCAAAAGCGCTAGAATCTCGGAATCGCAAAACCCTAGCCCTCACACCCTAATCCCTAAAGCCCAAAAGCCCTTCGATGACGCGAGCGCAACGTCCTTGAGCTCGGATGCCTCGGAGGGCTTGGCGCTTTCTCCTCGTGGCGCTGGCCCTGAGCCTTAGGCTCCCCTGGAGTCTCTCTGCGGTGCCAGCGGGTGTCGGAGTGCGCCTTGTCCTGTGAGGTTCAAGGTCAGGATCTAATTTGGTGCTCATAACCGAGCACCAATGGATGGTTCAAGCTCAGTGCCAACACGGTGTTTACCTATCGGGCTCGGGTAGCGATGAGGGCAGCAACCATATTTGAGCATCAAACTATCTTCAACGCCCCTTTGGGCTTCGAATTATTCCTGCGGCGGAGCCACGGGTTTGCAGGATTTTCGGCCTGTTTTTCTTATTTGTTGTAGGGGTGGTGCAAGTGCTTTTGGTTTGGGTGGCTGCGAGGAGTGTTTGAATCGCAAGACGCATCAGCTAGAACCAATATTCGTTTGTTACCGACGGAATTTTAAAAGCATAGGCATGGGTGCATGGATTTGTTGTGGATTTAGCATGCGAACCCATGATGCGCACAAGTCCTGCAGCTCCTCAAACAAATGTTTCTCACACTGCCAAAAAGTTTGCGTTGGAGTTTCAATATCTGTGAGGCTAGCAAGGTGCATGGGAACACCCCCGCTCACATTTCAAGGGTCACTGGGTCGTTGAGTGTGCATTCCAGAAGCGCAGGGAAGATGCATTGCGTTGCAATTCGAGTTTGCGTTTTGCAGACGTTGTGTGTGGGAGCCTGCAGACATGGAGAACTACGGACCATATTCTATACCCTGAGCTATATTGTATAGGTACCGGCTTGCACCGATTCTTTTGGACCCTAAACCAGCGCGGAAGCTATCTTGAAATCAAGTCAACCGAGGAGTCCGAAAAATCGGCATCTTTCGCCCTATGAGCGTCTCCTCGTGAACATCATGAAAGATGCTGGCTTACAAGGCGGTCCGGAGACTCACGTTGAGGAATCCCTGAAGCGGTAGTCTACAGTTTGCAAGGCTCTGTAAGCCACACGAATTCGGACCCTGCAGTTTTTCACTTGCATCCGGAGGGCCAGAACAGGAACCCGACACCCTGAGGCCCTGAAGCGTAGGCAGGACCAGGTAGGATAGGTAGGTGAGGTAATCGGTCGAAATACCCTTTTTGAACCAAGAGGTCGATGGTCGGAGGTGCAGCGTTATTGGGGTGGCTACAATGGCACCGCTTTGGAGGTTTACCATGCGGCCATGGGGGCAGCCTACAGCTGTGGGCAGTATGAGCATGGGGCCACCATATTTAAGAAACGATTTAACACTAACGCAGCCGAAGTGGACCTGAACTTCTTGTTGACCGGCTTGAAGATCTTCACAAAGCTGCGGGACAGGCTGCAGACAGAGGCCATTTGGCAGCAAATTGAGACGAAAGGCTGGGCGAAGGATGTTGATGCCACTACCACGCTTCAAGCATCTATTCTCCTTGGCAACATCTCATTGGCTGCTTCTGCGCTAGACATTGTACGCAACCAGCGTATGCTGCCGGACCGCCTTCATTGCTCCAAGGCCATACTGGCATGTACGATGTCGGATCAGAAAGGCAAGCACATGGCAGCAGCATATTTTCTTGATTACATGATGCAGGACTCCAGACTCCGGAACTGCGGACTAATTGATAATGATGTCGCCCTGTAGCCCCTATATAACTATATTACCATCTACCCCAAATCCTCTTGAATTATGAGGACCTGTATGGGTCACAAAGTCTCCACGGGTTGGCGACCACAAGGCTGCGCAGACACAAGTCTTCGCCCGTGCAACATTTCCACAAGCCTATAAAGCACTACAGCTGAAAACCCACAGCCCAAATCCCTCAATTCAAACAGGCGGAAGCACTAAAACCCCCTAAACCTATACTACGCCGGCCGTACTACGCCCTCTAAACTTAGTAGTAATAATGCGGATTGGAAATGACAGGAGAGACTGCAGCCGGACACATTGACCTTGCTCAACACCCTTGCAGCACATCGGACAGCCTCCCCTCAGGAGAGAATTCTCGTGCACGTGCGGCTTGGGGCGCTTGGGGTTTGTGAGACTGAGCCGCTCTGAGCCCCTTGAGCCCCCCTATGTAGGGATCATTCTGTTCGAACCCTTGAAACCCCAAACCCTCGCCTCAAAAGTCAGCTTCCAACCGTCCTAATGGTATGTGCAGGAGATAGACGGGGTGTTTGAGAAGATGGCGCTGGCTCGCCTAGAACCCGGCGCCACCGTGACAGAGGCCGACGCCTTTCTAGTAGAGCACAGGAACCTGTGAGGTAGGAGCTTAGACTTCAAGGGCGAGTTGTTTAAGTTGGAAAAACCCCCGAGATAATATCCCAACACAGCTCTTTACAGATCCCTCATACTCAAGCGCCTTGAGGGTCTCCAAAGAATCTCAGCAGCTTCCTCTTCTGTAACCATAAGTTCCCGTATGAAGCGGGACTCATCGAGGCCTACGTGAAAGCCATGTTCCAGGGTCGGCTGAGACGCTCGGCTTCGAGTTTCTGGGGGGCTTGGGATCTCCGATTCACGGTTCATCGGCATGTATAGGGTTACGTAGCGAGGGCGTTTTAGGCTTTTTTTGCTCAGTGTTGACGGCCTATGGGGTTTCATGCTTTGTGCAGAGAGACTATCACTTGCAGAGTGCGGCAGGAAATGTAGGTAGAATCCGGAAGTAGATCGTTTGCCAAAGCCCTAAACCCTCCCTCAACCCTGCAGTATAAACACAATTGCGGTAGGTCGTACGTGCTTCACAGCTTTTTACCGCCCCACGGCCTCGCCTAGCCTACCATTCCCTGCAGAGTGGTTGATTACATGCTGCTGAATGTGGAACTGCTTTGACTCTGCGAAATGTCGGTTCTGCTCTGCTTGCCAAGGAAACATCTCGAGTTCTGAGGATGTTGAAAAGAGCCTGGCTGGAGTCAGCCCAGAGAGGCGGGATGCTCCACTTTTTGGGGGCCTTATAAGTTGTTCTTGTGACTATGACTAGGTCCTTAGGTTTAGGTTCCTCGATGGGGCCTTGTTTTGGAAAACGGACCTCCGAGGCTACAGGCAGCGCGGTCATTTTTGGAAAACCCGGCCAGCCCGAACAGACGGACGAAACTGACGAGACTGGTGATGGAGTTCTATGGGCTCACATAACACAGGGCCTGCTGTTTGCTCACCATCTCGATCGCAGTGCCCATGTCGTTGCAGCAGCTTGGAGGCGATTTGGGTTGGACGATGAGGACCTTTCGGCGTATGCGCCGGGTACAGGCTGCAAACACGACACTCGATTTACAAGCCCCCAAGCCTACACCCTGAAAATTCCCAACCGCAAGCCGAGCATAGCAAGTGTCAGAGAGCCCAAAGGGCCCAAACTGCAGTCGAATCATTCAGCCTCCTACAATAGAAGACTTAAGCTCGAAGTTGTGCCCAAACCATCCCAAACCCATCTCCTGAACCCCTAGACGCCTCCCCAGGAGGAACATCCCCAATCGCATTGCGGCAACTACGTCAAGCCGAAGGACCGGGTGTGAGGATCTGCAAGGGGTTTCATACTGCAGCCTGAATACTTGGAATAGGGTGGCGACAAATGTTATGGTAGAATGATGCAGGGATTAGTATGCGAAAGAGCAGCCTTTAGCAGGTCCTGCAGATTCTCGTGGAGACGGTCGGGGCGACCTCAAGTGATCCCAGCGACGCGAAGAAGCCCCGAAGAACCGCTGAAAAGTCAACTCGCGGGTTCTGGGCCTTTGGGATTCGAGGCTTGAGGCTCCGGCAGGATTAGCTTTGGAGGTTTGTGGACCAGGCACAGAATTCCTTACAACAGCTAGAACCTAGCCTGCAGAGAGGTTCCGGGGACGAGAGCATGAGATTCAGCAGCCTCGTCCGGAGGAGGTGTGGAAGATACTATCAGCACCAGAGTTTCCTCTAGAAGGTGAACTCTAGATCTAGGTATTCTTGATGGAGTTTTCAGGCTCCCCAAGCCTCGAAAGCCTACAGCCAAACTCCAGTTTCCAAAGCCTGAAGTAGTAACCCTGAGCCGCTGAACCGCTGTGCTGGCAGCTGTCTCGTCGGCTTCTGCCACTAATATGTTTTTGGCTTTTACCTGCCAGTGAGTTTTCTTGTAATTGTAATCTCGCTTTCACTCAACCCCACTCGCAGCATTGGAGACTGGTATATTAGGGTCATGGGGGGTCCTGCCCAGCGGTCTACCTTACTACACGACTACGTTGTGCTATCATCAAGTTCCGAGAAAAGCTCCAACTCGCCTTGCCCAAGTAAGGCCAAGCGGAAGTGGCCCTGACCTAAACAGCTGAGGCAGTCTTGGCTGAAGCGGCGTGGAGGCAAGCTGTCGATGATGGCTCCCACAGAGGTGCCTCGACCTGATCTCCGCACTCCAAAACCCGGTGAAGGGTTGTAGGGAATACGGGCCTCAGGGTCAAGAGCAGTTCAGGGCTTCGTGGGTTGGCCTTGAGGGCTTCAGGATTTCAGGGCTTCAAGGTTTTGGGGCTTTGTTTCCGCTTTCAAGGGTTTGGGGTTTGTTGGTTCTAGGATTTTAAAGCTGTAAACTCTCGAGGGAGAAGCTTGTGTCAGCTAGGATGATGAACTCTGATGTATTGGTTTCGGCTTTTGGCTGATAGCTTCGGTTTCCATTTGCTTCTGTGAGCCGGAGTATCATCGGAGTATCACCGTATGTATATAGTTTGGATTGGCCTGGTATTTGATTGCTATGTGCATGCTAGGTGGCGCCAGTATGGAGCAGCAGCATTTCCGCCCGCATCCGTTTTGACCAACCTTCTTGCCTAGCTGTTCATCATGACGGTTTGATGGTGAAAGTGATGACGAGGGCAACAGGAAGATTAGGTCAAGAAGCCACTGAATCTTGCGTGGTTTCTGAATGGAAACTTTCTCAATATAAATCCTCCTGTCCAAGCCTGGCTCACCAATCTTCCCCAAGCAGGAGTTGCAGAAGCCCATGATTTGTCAGAGTGCTTAGAAGTATTAGTAAGTATCGGACATCTCACGGTTTGTACTGGGGTCCCCTTTTTTCTGAAACCCTGGGACAAGAGCCGTACATCCCGAACTCAAGGGCTGGCGACAGTAGAAGCCCGACTTGTTGTTGGCAGCACCATTCCTTAGGGCTAGGGTTTCTTGATAGCATCCTCGAGAGAAATGCCCCTATACTTCAAGTTCTCAACCTCACTTCTCCAACTAAGCCATAATACGTATACTAGCTTGTGGAGGGATCTGGGGCTTTAGAGTTTAGGGGTTTCGGTTTTGGGATTTTAGTGCGTGTTTGACACTTCTAGAGTTTTCTAGGTTGCTTGAATGCCTTACTGAACCCCAAAAGCCTTCACATCCCTGCACCTCCCAAACCCCGGCAACTCTAAAAGCCCTGATGCCGGCTTCTCCTCAGCGATGCAGGTGACGCCCACCCGTGGCTGAGTGCGGGGCTTCAAGAGGAAGGGACCTAGGCTTTGTAGGGGTTTACGAGCGCGTGTTTAGCTAGGTTGATGGTTCCACCAGGTTTCAGGGTATGGGGTTCATGGCTTCACTCAAGCTTATATAAAGAACGATATACAGGTCTAGGATTTAGTGTTCTGGGGTTTGGGCTTCAGAGTTTTCTGGTTGAACCTGTGCAAACGAGAATATCCACGCCGGTCGGACACCTTCACCCTGAATTAACCTGTTCGGGGCTTCAGAAGGGTCTACGACTACACATTAGCCGGGAATCACACGGGCATCAACAGTGCTCGCATTTACGGTATTCAGCATCCATCCAGGCTGAGTGGTGATGCGGCGACGCGATTTAGTTTAAGTTCAGTGAAAGAAGGAGTGGCTACTTCGAAAACTATTGGACCTCAACTTCTGTGAGTACTAAGGGCAGTTTACAGTATAGGATGGATTACAGCGGTTCGGGGCCTAGCCCCTTCCTTGAATGTGTGGGAACTCCCCACGTTTGATCCGTTTCCTGGCGTTCTGCAAAGCAGTCGCCAAAATGGAGCTACAACATAGCACGACGACTGAAGTTTCCAGACCCCATACCGAAACCTGGTCCCAACTAAGCATGGATCCACCCTAACAACAAATCCTACTGCGACACCTCCACTTCTAAACCCAGCATGTGACTCCAACCCTGTCCAAGCAATGCCCTTCACCGAAGGTGAGCGGGTCCGTTGCAGTGTACCATTTTAGAGCTTGCGGCGTAGGTCCTTCCTCGGAGGGTCGTATCAGCAAGCTTCGACCTTTAAGAAATCGCCGACTCTACAGGTGTTGTACATCAAAGGTGTGTTGGCCCTGAGTTAGTGATTAGTTTGCATAGGATTTCCGATTTATTTGCAGTATAGAAGCTCCCACAACCCCAGTGAAAAGTAGGCTTCTATATTAGGCCATTGACCCTTTGCTTTACATGAGGAAGTGCAAACAGGACTTCGGAGAAGTACTGGTGGGTGTACATGTTGGACGTTCTGTTGAAAGCTTCTCAGAGTACTCATAGACGGGAGCTGTTACCAGTAGTAGACAGCTTCAATTCACGTCCATGTGTTGATGTTTCGAGCTGTATGTGCTTCAATCTTATATACACTAACTTTAAGCCCCCATCCCCAACCCAACGTCTTAAACTCTGAAGAACGCCACCAGGCAAGGCAGCCTACCGGAATATTTATACCACTTAACCCCCTCCCCCGCCAGCATCCGACAAAAGAAAAATATTTGGCTGGTGATCGCAACGATCCTCCGATGACCGAGCGTGGCGGGCACACCAGGCCCGAAAGAAGGTGTTGTTTCCATATGTTTTAGGGGTTTGGGGATTGACACTCCTAAGAAAGAGCATTGACTTGGTTCGTAGGGCGTATCCAGAGCACGTTTGTCGTCTTTCTCTCCTATCCATTCCTTCGCTCTCACTCTCCCTCTCTCTCTCTTTGTCTCTTCCTCTCTTTATCTGTATCATTCTGAACAAGGCGAAGCTCGATGGTTGTGATGGTTGTAGCTTTTTGCTGCCATACGTGACGTGGCTTGGTGTGCATTGGCTCAGCCGCGCCATCCACTGGTGCCCGAGCCCGTGGTGGTGCACAAACCTAGGACTATCGCTCGTTGCACGGTTCCCCCTAGCATGTATTCATGGTTTATCATGACAGAATTGCCTTGATGGGCGCGTTCTTCTTCTAGGTTCACGGTTCTTCTTGCAAGGACTGTTACTACGAGTAGTCACCGTGATTCAAGCATGCCTCCTATTTCGTAAAGCTTATGGTGACTTCTTCACTCGCGAGTGTGCTCATCGCAACTAGCACCTCGAGAACTTCACCGCCTCACCTCAGCAGCCTACAGCAAGGGCTTTAACATAAATCTGGTTCTGCCTCAGTTCTGCGTAAGCAAGATCTCGATTGCCGCCGGGCCACACATGTTCAGTCTAGGGTAACCGAGCATTTGGGACTGTAAGCAGCAAGGAGGACGACGCAAGTAGTCACTATCACCCCCACCCTCACTGCCAGCTTCAGCAGTAGCTTGTTGAGCGCTCCATGGTACAAACCATCTGAATTCATGGCTGGTCGCAGCAATGACGATGCACATGTGGAGCCAGATTGTGACTTATGTTTCGCTACTCGAGAGAGGAGTCATGCCAACCGATGCAACAACCAAGTGGTCATGGAGGGGAGGAAGCAGGGTACAAATGCAATGGCGGATGGTACGACGTAGTCAAGCACAAGCTAGTAGACTTTCATGGTTTACGCAGGAGCTAAGGCCTAGCCTAGACCCCCAAACTTCCCAAACTCCAAATTGCTACAGGTTCTGCAGTGTAAACCACTGCCTGGGGCACCAGTCGGATGCGACAGAGCTCGCCAAAGAAATACAATCCACACGGAGCCGGGCAGTCGTGACAAAAAGCACAGCTTCGGGTTGGTGCGGTTCTAATGCACCGATCAGTCCACAATGCCATGTGTTTGTACGTAGCGACGTCTTCATGTAGGTGGGTGGACGATTAAAACATGTCCTTGGTGTGTAGTATGTACAGACATGCATACATGCCCTCACAGTGTGGGGACGAGGGTAAGCAGACGTGCATACATGCATGCATGCCCTAGATCCCTCTCATACCAAATACTTGCGGTGGCGTTCCATACCCAAACCGTGTCCAGGCCTGCGACTTAAAGCATCTTCTCATTGCTGCAAAATGTGAACCATTTGATCCTCACCTGCTGGGCCTTGCATGCCTCCTGAACCCTAAGCCCTGAAGCAAAACATCCGCTTCTTAACTTGTGGGAGCGTTTGTCCTTAGTGATCGGTTTCCTTGCCCGCTCCAAGATGGCGTCGGGCTCAGGGCTCACGGCTTGGACCACTAAGGGTGGCAGGAGGTGTGAGTAAGATGGGTTATACGTCCGGTGTGTTTTCTCAGACTCAAGTTGTTCGACGAGCCAAACAAGCGTTCATGCAGCGTCTTCGGTGAAATGTATGCGTCCTGGATTTTTGTGCTCCCCGGTGACACGTGGCGTGGATTTTGTTTTGGACCTCGCGGATTTCCGCGTGAAGCTCCGGTGAAAATTTCGTAAAGATCACAAGCGCCTCTTAGTCAAAAACCCATAGAAATCCACAGCAAAGTCCGCGCAACACATAAACTGATGTTGGAAGCAGAGCCACATCTCCTGATTTCCGAAACATGCGCTGGATGCTGTCTCTCATAGAAACTTGTAGCTGCTTTTCCTTTTTGTCGCTGGCAGTGAAGCCCCGGTTGCGGCCCAAAGCTTTATGGCTTTAGTCGGCTCAGGGTTTAGGATCTAGAGCGCGGGGTTGACTTTGGCATTCAGGGCGACAAGCTTCGTGAATCATCCTCTCTGGCTCAAGGCCAATCTTGTGGCTAGTGCCATTCCATGTTCAGCCCTATCCAGTAGCGGCTTGGATGGAAACAGCCGCTGCAATTCTTCAGACTTGAGATTTCGGGATGTCGAGTCTTCTCATGTGACCCTAAACCTATTCTCTTGCATCCTAAACTGATAGGTGGTGAATGATGATGGTTCTTGTTGCTTGTTGTTCATGGTTTCGCAGCTATTGCCTATGAAGGTGTGGCCAGTAGCAACGATACAGTGAGCATTCCACGATCAGCAGCTGTCTCCTTGGGTGTCCGTTTGATGATGATTCCCATCGCCCCAAACCCTAAAGCCTGGACCCCCTGAACCAGTGAACCCCCAAACAAACCTCCTCTGTAATGGGACCTGAAGGCCGACCGAGGCATGTGCCCTGCACCTCTTACGTTCTATCAGACTCCCTTGAGACAAGATTTGGCGTTGCTGTGTTGCCCAGCTGCCCTGCGCACAAGTCTGTTGGTCATTCTCAGCCAGTTCCCAGGTGTTCAGTTTCCTTTTTCATCTGCATGCTTTGGATGACTGCCGTCGCACCTTTGCTCCTAAGTAACACAAGCCCCAAACTCGAAAAAACTGGCCTCGTAGTACTCGGCCAGTGCCTGCAATAGCGCAAGCCCCACGAAAGAACGGGCCTCCTAGTACTCGGCCAGTGCTTCCAAATAGATATAGAATTGCATACCACCACCATGAAACAACTCGCAAGTAGCCGTGTGTCAGGCGAAACCTACGCCTGGCGCGCGGCGCACGGTGCCAGCGACTCTTCCGAACAACTGGTTAGGGGTTAATTAGGGTCAGGGCTAGAGCCTGTCGTAAAGGGACAACAGTTGTTGTCAGTTGTGCACGGAACCATACAGAACCGATAGACCGGTGTGTGGAGCCAAGCCAGAAGCCCTACTAACCTAGAGTCACTCGGCCATTAGGCCATTACCCCAGGGCTCGCGCTACCTCGGCGTTCAAGGAATTCCGCATCTGCTCATTGACACCCTCATTGAGTCCCCGGACCATGAACTTCGTTGATCCTATTTAGGGCAGCCTTCAAAGCCTCCAGAACCCTCAACCCCAAGCCCTTGAGCCTTCAGCCCAGTCTCTATAGCCCAAAACCGCCAGACCCAGAGCAAAGGTAAACGCCCCTGGCCAACACACAAAGGAGAATCCCTTGGCGCCAGCTCTCACCGACGTGGCAGAAGGTGCCGGGAACGCTTTCTTCGAGTCTCCACAGCTTTCAGCAGCTCTTCACAGCTGTGCGTCGAAGTCTACAACAAACGACCTTGTTTGTCGTGACCGATCTTGAATGTGGCATGGAGGGTTGTTCGGGCTTTGAAGAACGGGTGCAGAGATCATAGCAAGAAGGCAGATCGGCAAGCTCGCGGCGGAGCCCAACTAGCATCGAGTGTTCTCAATCTTCGGTTCCGTCCTTCGGTGTCATGAAAGACTTGAAACTTGAAGTCAATTACGCGGAGGTGCTTCCATGTTTGGGCAAGGAGATGGTTCTTCTCTGTCTGGGCGAGAAAGATTGTCGGCTTGCATGACATGTTGCAGTGGGATGGAAAGAGCATGCCCACAGCCGGCCTCATTTTCAGGCAAACCGAACTGGTAGTGATCCGCCGCAGCCTCAGGGACCGATGTGGGTTTGCACCCCTTCTGGCACCCCCCGATCTTAGGCGCTTTGACAACTTCGAGTATTTTCTGTCCCTCATTGTCCCTCCAAAACCAGTTTGGTTTACCATATCCGACAGCCCTCAAAGGAACACTCATGAGCGGAATGATGTAACTGGTAAGGGATGAGTGTTCAGGATGCGGGACTCCTGCATTCCGGAACCTGCAGCCCAATTTCCTAAACCACCCGATGCTGCTAGACCAACATGACAAGCAACACGCCGTAGACCTGAGCTCGAAAGCAAGTTGAGTTTCCATTGGATCGAAACAAAGTCCGCACCAGATCTAGCAGCAAACTGAACTAAGCCTTTACGGATGCACCTCCCCCGCTGTACGCTGAGGATGCACCAAGATGACTTCCCAACCCCTGGCTGGAAGGAGCCAGATTAACGGGAAGGGCAGCGGGAGGAGGAGGAAGAGGAGGAGGAGGAGGAGTAGGAGGAGGCGGAGGGGAGGAGGAGGAGCAGAGGTGCCCGAGTTCACTTTCTGATGCTGCAAGAGGCTTAAGCCAGTTAGGCATCATGAGACCGATTTAGGGTGTAGGCGGTGTAGGTTTAGGGCTTGATAAAGGTTACGTGGGATGTCGGATTCGGAAATTCGGGTGTAGGCTTGTCCAGCCGCTTCTCAAGAATCCTTCGGTTACCAGACCAAAACAACTTCCAGCCCAGCCCTGATTCTGAATCATCAAAACCCATAGGCTCTGAGCCCGTTCAAAACCTGACGCATCCGTAACCCCCTAAACACTGCAAAGGAACCCAAAACACGAATTGTCTCCTAAATACCACGCCAAGAATTCCGTACCTCTGTTTGATCATCGTCGTTCACTTGTCCTCGATCCGGCTTGATACGGCAGACCTGAACAGCTGAAACCCTCCACCCGATAAACTCCAAAATGCCCAAGCTTGAGAACCCTTCGCCCGCGACTCAGGTGTCAGGGGATAGGGTGTCATTCGGGTTTTTGACTTGTGGGGATTCAACCCGCATCCTGAAACAGGAGCGCTTTCCAGAGCCCATCAAATTCTTGCCCGTGCCTGGGCGCATCCAGACATGGTTATTGTTTGTGCTTCTGGTCATGCAAACCCAAACCGTCGCAGCAAAGTCATTGGCGTAGTAGCAACAACAGGCAAAAAAATGCGGAATCAGATGCTTTACAGCGGCTATCTGCCCTTATGAACAGCAGACGAACCCTGAACCTAGACCTGTGTTCTTCAAGATCTCCGGGCTCGAGTACAAAGCTTTGCGCCCGCCCACCCTCGAAAGTAAAAGCGAAAGTCCCCGATGCTTCCGCCGGCATAAGGTTCAATCTGTAGGCGTTGCGCCTGGGGATCTGAAGTGTCGGGTTTAGGGATTGAGGATACGATTAGCTGGGCTAGGAAATCCCTAGTTTAGCAACACTTTCAGTCACAGAAAACACAGATCACCCTGAGTCTCGAATCTCCCGTACAAGCGGCTTCGGTGTTCTTCGTATATGCCGCGCGGTTCTGAGCCTACGGCTAAGAGCAAATAAGAAGCCTTGTTTGACTAGGCTCCTTAAGACTTCTAAGTGAGTCAGGTGATCTTCATCCTTGGCATCATTGGCGGCCTGGGTGCCCAGCAAGAGAGTTTCCCAGAACTGAGCCTGGAAGCTTCAGGCTTTGGCCCCACCACGCCTGACATGTGTCTCAGATAACCACGCATGGAGAAGTTCGAAGCTGGAATCCTGAGCTTGCTTCTACTATGTTGCACGACCTCCCAAGCTCCAACCACTCAACAAGCTTCCGACATTCCCGGCCCGAAAATCTTGGAAGCCAAAACCCGCTATACATTCACCCCAGCATAACCCTAGTCTTCGCTATTTTCCTTGGATTTCAATCGGGTGGCTCAGATATCGGGTCATTCACAACGATCAGTCCTGAGCTAATCCTGGATGCCAGCGACCATGATGATGATGTTGATGATGTTGATGTTGATGATGTTGATGATGTTGATGATGATGGTGATGATGATGATGATGTTGATGATGTTGATGATGTTGATGATGATGATGATGATGTTGATGATGTTGATGATGCTGATGATGATGATGATGATGGTGATGATGATGTTGATGATGTTGATGATGATGATGGTGTTGATGATGATGATGGTGATGATGATGATGATGGGTGTGATCTTCGTCCCCGTTGCCATGGTTGCAAAGCCGTGCACGCGAGCTTCCAACCGAGGACTGTATTGGATTTACTTGACTTGCCACTTACTTCCCAGACTGCAGGACTGAACCGTAAATCGCTGGTGCTACTGTGGCTGCGGGTTTTGTAAGGGCTGTGTGAGCTTCTATCGTGGTTGTATGAAGGTTTTGTCAGGGTTTAGGGTTCTGGGTTCAGGGACAAGTTAAGGCTGCTGATTTCGGATCGTGGTGGGAACTTTGAAGTTGCAGTTTGGTTGAGGGCTCAGGGGTTCCAGGCCAAGCTTAGAGGGCTTCCTGCAGGCACTCTTTGCACCGGCGGGTCACTGATTGGGGTACCTCTTGAGCATCTGCAGTAGATCCCTAGCAGAGCGCCTGCATGCATGCCCGATTTCTCGGATCTTGGAGTTGAACTTATTTGACAGTTGTGAACCCGCTTGCTCTGAACCAAAAGAGCCCGAAACCATGATACAGGAACCACAGAGCCCAATCCCGCCACAAACCTGTAGAACTCTCTTACTAAACTGTACTTCCTTCTGGCACTCTAGAATCTAGCAAACCCCTACCAAGCACCCCGAGCCCTAAGCGGTAAACTTCGGACCACAATGCTCGAACTCGAGATGACCCAGAACGAGCCTTTGTTGCTTGGGTTCTTCGTTTTGAGACGGAAAGGACAGCGGGAATCCTTTTTCTTGAAACCTTATGATAAAAGTTCAGGATCAACTGATTTAGGGTGTTCGAGTTTGGGGCTTGAGGGCTTTAGGATTTTGTTTATGGGGTTTTTGAGATGATTTGCAGGGTCTTGGGCTTCACTTTCGGAGATGTGGGATTTCAGTTTTTGCCCCTAACCTCCAAGCCGAAAAGTCTTGCACGAACAAAGCTCTAGGGGCAACGATTTGAGGTTTGGGAGGTTTTGCGGTTTAGAGTCTAGGCCTGTAGTTATTTCCTCCGTAGTATCGAAGTAGTTTTGTCTCGGTGCTTGTTTTGTCTCGGTAACATGTAAGGACTGGCAGCTTTCCTGCTGCTTCCAGGGTTGCAGCATTAGCATCCTGTGGGGCCTCAATGTAAGCTTCGGGGTGTCAGAATCTTGGGTGTTCTGGATTACCAACAACCGAAGCCTCAACACCAAAGGCCTAAGCTCTGAAGTCAACACCTTGAACAACCTTGACTCCCCAACCCGGAGCCCCCCCAAACCCTGAACTCCCCAGACTCCCTCGAGGCCCCTTTGAGGCTTCTCCGTTTAGAGCTACCAGCGCAGGAAAGTAAGACGACCACCACAGCGGCCTGGGAGTTCGCAGCTTTCCATGCCGTCTTGGGCCCACATTGAAGCGGTGTTTGGCTTGAGATGGTGGGAGTCTTTCAAGTTGGCCCGTTCACTGCGAATAAGGTGAGGTTGGTTTGCCCTGAAAGTTTTGGTGTTGTGGTGTTGAGACGCGATGCTAACATGTCGACGCGAAGCCAATCCAAGGTAGCTTTTCTGTCCTTTCCTACCGCTCTGTCACGGTCCCACACTTGTCATCTGCTCCCGTTTTGTAAGTATAGTATAATATAGTAGACTATACTATAGTATAATAGAGTACTAGTACTCTGTTCTGTTTTGTGTCAGCTCCTGGAAAGTTCTGAATCTGAGCAGCACGAAGGAGCTTGCCTCGACTGTGGGGAAGGCTGAAACTCTGAGCCCTGTAGGGTTGACCTACCATAGGATTGTCGGAGGATCTTCACCTCGGACAAACACCCTGAGCCCCTAAAAACATCCAGAAGTGACTAATTCCAAAGAAGGAATTGGTCCCTTCAATTCTGGCAGGGCTCCTCCATAGGGAAGCCCTGATAAAGAAATCCTGGAGTCTCTGGGGTTGCCTGCTCAGGTCACCCTGATGCTTCTGGTGTGCTACTTCCTGAGCGTGCGTGTCTCAGTCGGTCAGGAACCTTTAGGGTTTCAGGCGTTTCGGGTTGTTCCACCACCATGCTCGCTTTCGTGAACAGCATGATCAGGACCATCACAACCAACATGATTTCAACACATGCCATCATCGACTCTGCCACAGCACCTTCTTGATTTGCTTTCTGATGCTGAGAGGAGTGCCTGTGTGGTGCTAAATCTGGAGCATGTTCGGTGTTTTCGCTGTAGGTTTCTGGGCATTGGGTTCAGGGTGTAAGTATAGCGGTTGGGGATTGCCCAAGCTCCGCAGCCACGGATCCTCAAGCCCTAAGCCCTAAGCAAGCCGGTACTTTGAACAGTGGAATTGGGTGAGCCCAGAGCTTGGATTGTCTCGTCATTTCAACTTTACTTAGTTGGCTTTGAGGTTAGGGTAAGAGTTTCGATGCCTTAAGACCTTGAAGTCAAAAGCCGCAAAGCCTAAAAGCCCTTGAGCTCTTGAACTCAGCGCTGTTAACATAGTGAGAGGGAACCGTCTGTAAACTCCGAAACCCGACAGCATGTTTGCATGCTCCTTTAACGCCTCACATCGACACCACCAACCCCAAACCCTGGAACCGCAAAACGGTTAGAAAACCTTAAGCCCAAGCCTTCGGCCCTAAATGCTTGAGCCTGGCACCCGAACTGCCGGAGGCTGGGAGGGGTTGAGGGCTGAGGCTCCAGGGCTTCGGGTTGAAGAAATCTTGAACGACGGGTCCGGGGTACCCAAATCACCCTATAATCCCAAACCCTGAAAAAATCTTTCAAGCTGCATCTCCTGTCTCCAAGCCAGAAGAGACCCCCTCTTTGACTGGAAAGACCACCGAGGTCTTCGTCCATCCCGGGACAATCCCCGACAAGGAGGAGGATTCGGGGGGGGCAGGGGGTCAGCCCGATGTCTGAAACTGAGCATCCTTGCAACCCCCATCCTTTCGAACGCCTCTGGCTCAAAGCACGATGGCCACAAGCGGATCTAGCAGAAGTCTGCTCACGCAACCTGTTTAGCAGTTAAGCAACTTTCGGGCAGAGTTCGGTTTACATCTTATGCAGGTGCAACCTTCAAACCCGCACTGTATGAGCAAAGATCCGGAATCCATGTGTTTAACTGTAATTATTGCGAACTTTGACTTCAGGGCAGGTGGACCGCTACTAAATACCATATCTTGACAGTTAAAGTCGTCAGATTTCAGCGTCCAGCGCAAGCCTAGCTTCGACCATAGCATGCCGAATCGTGATGCTGCGGGTGTGGCTGGCGTCAGGTGCGCTCTTGGTCAGTGTTCCTGTGGAGGAGCTCAGCGATGTGAAGAGCCTGAAGAGGAACTTGCAGCTACTCTGCAAAGTGCCACGATTCAGACAGAGACTCGGTCCATGCTGAAAAACATAAAGTCTTATAGTAAGAACTATGATGTAGGCTCAAAGAGTTCCATGATAGAAAATGTCCCAGGAGACTTCTCCATCAAGGTGTCGCTCTAGATGACAAAGAAAGGCTGGAACTCCCGATTGACGTGCATCTGGTGATGCTGCAGTTTGCAGCTGCAACGGGAGAGCAAAGAGACGAGCTCGTCAATGCAGTAGAACAGAATCGGCTTCCTCAGATTGAGGAGATTTGCGGTTCTGGGAATCGTGCAGAGTTGAGGGTTCTCGGTCTTGTAGTGCTCCGAAACCTGTGGGGCCTATGGGGTTTCTGTTGCTCCCAGGAGTTTCTGCAGCGACCTCAAGATCCGAGCCTGACAGACACTTTGGGTAGAACACCTCTTGGCATGGCGTCGGATGGCGAGATGCTTGCCTGGCTTTACGACTCGTTCGGCGGATGCAGGCTTCAGACTAGACAAGCTATTCGTCTGAAAGCCTTAAGCCGTAAGCTTTATGAGAACACACACCTGTTTGGGGGGTCTCCATACTCATAGGTCAAAGCCAACTCCCCAAACCCAGTGCCCCGACAAGTAAGGTCTCAGCCCCAACCTCGAAGCCCTCAAGGACAAATAATGTAGGCGCCTCAGTATTTAATCATTTTTTCTTGAGCCGTTATCCCTCCACATCCCTCAACTCTAGACCAGAGAACAGACCCTTAGCCCCAAACCCTGACAAGCAAGGATAGCATGCTTGCTCGTTGAAGCCGGATCGGAGCGGAACCTAGCGGATGACATCGGCGAAACGGCACCTTGGTAGTCAGCTAAGCCGCCTTTCGGGTTTCGGACTTATGACTTCGGCGCTCGTGTTGGGTGTGTCCCTGTGGGTTGAGGGTTTTCGGGTGTAGCCTGTAGGCCAAACTTTCTGGTGGTTCGCACAATGATATACTCCTAGAGAGACACCGCACAACGGGGGTCGATCGTTGACCCAGACGTTATACAGTTATACCAATTTGTGTCCCTCTGTCTTTTTTTAACACAGAGGTATGATCAACTCGGAAGAATCTGCGAACTTTTCATTGAGAATGTGCGGTGCGGGTTCAGAACTTGGACGAGCCAGGCCCTGATCAGCGCGGCGCGCGAAGGCCGGACGGAGGTCGCGCGTGCGCTGCTGGAGTTCGGAGCTTCCACAGAACCTCGGTTAAAAGGGTTCGGGTTCAGGCCTTAGGCTTTGGGCTCTAGGGTTTTGTGGAAGCTTAAGTTCTGAGAGGACCCTTCCTTCGGAACCCTTGATATATGCCATATAGGCATAACATGAAGTCACCCGAAACATTGGTTTTGCACGGTCGAGGGTATAAAACCTAAACTCGAAAGCTTGCATGGGGTTTGGGGGGAGGGGGGGGGGCCCGGTTGCCCTTGAATTTGTTGTAAAGGATAGCCAGTCCAGAAGATCTACGAAAGTAGATACTGCCAAAGAAACCCCTTCATGTAACATGAAAATTGAAAATCTTACGTACATATGTTACAATCATATACGTTGTACTTCTCCCAGCGGTAATCAAGAGCTGAGGAGCTGTCGGATGATGACGGCTGGACGGCGCTGACAGTCGCGTCCGTTCAAGGTGCCATGGGCTGTGTTCTATGTTGCGCCTCTTGTTTGGGGTTCTAGGGTTCAAGATGGAGGGGATGGGAGTCTTAGCATGGTTTAGGGTTTGGGGTGCAGGGTCATCATAAGGACAACGGTTTCCGCTGATCGTCGGCCGACGCAGCTCTTCTGGCTGCATCCAAGGGAAACCTCTCAGGAGTCACCCGTTAAAGACCTACAAAACATGCAGCAAGCCCTGCAACAATACAACACCCCCACACACACACACAAAAGACACTCAAAAGGCCTCACGAAGTCCTACAAACCCACCCTGCAAAGAAAGCACGTCTCCTCAACCAATCTCAAGAGGCCCAGTTCCAGTTGCCCCAGCTGCCCAGTTTAGGTAAACTTAGTCTTATAATGGTCACAAGACTGAGAACACCAAACAATCAATCTTAACAATAGTTAATATAACAGCAAGACTAGCTAACACTAATACCAATAACACGAATAACGACAACAAAGATAGTTTTATCAGCGGTAATGTACTATAATCATAATTATAATCATCGTAGTCTTCTTCGTGGGGACTCGTCAGCTTCGAGGACACCTGGGCGTGGTGCGTTTGCTCCTCGAGGCCGAGGCAGAGCTCGACCTCGCGGCCGACCTGGAGTGGACCCTTCGAGTTGGCGAAGGTTTAGGGTTTAGGGTTTGGGGTTTAGGGTTTAGGGTTTAGGGAAGAGAGAGGGCCAAGTCGATATAATGTATATAGGGGCCCTGTCATAATTACCTGTGCTATTTTGGGACTGCTCCTTAGTAGAAATCTAGTATCATGGCACCAAATACCTTACTCTTATGATTAAGGCCCCTACATTATATAGGGTTCTTTAGGGTATGGGGTTTAGGGTTTAGGGCTCCTAGGGCTTAGATTTCTTTTCTGGGGCTTAGTGGCCCGTAGGGCTTATAGGGTTCTTCAGTTAGAGGTCCTTTTGGCGCTCAGGTATCACCGGGTTCACCCATACGCGTCTTAGGCTTTGGTGTAGATCTGCAGACAGGCTGGTAGTTGTTCATTCTTTGTTGCGGTGTTTCTGAAGCTTTTTTTTTTTTTTTGTGTGTGTGTGTCTGTGTGTGGCTTGTTTTGTGTGTGGTTGAGTGTGTTGCTTGGTTTCCCTTCTGCACCAGATGTTTGTTCCCACGTGGGGTAGAAGTAGTTTCGGCCTGAAAAGTTAGAATGTAGGTGTGTGTGTGTGTCTGTGTGTGTGTGTGTGGGGCTCCTGGAGCTTTCCGCAGAGGTCGGCATACGGTTCTCAAGGCCTCAAGGAAACATATATGAGCAGGCTCCAATAGACCGAAACCCCTGAAGGGTATAGGAATATGCATGATCCTCAAACGCCACCGCCAACTCCAAAATCGATACCCCGAAACTCTCCAAACCCTAACCGAAACCTGGAAATCCCAACATCCCCAAACCCTACAGTCCCGACGCGCTAAGAGTCTGTAAGCCTTACAAACCTTAACACCCTAGCAGCCAAAGGACGGCGCTTCTCACAGCAGCAAGGCGAGGCTATGGCAGCTTGCTCTATGCTTTGATGGCTTCGGCGGAGTTTTATGACACTCAGCTTAGCATAGAGGTCTGCACATGGCAATAACATACCACTATTGTCCTTATTAGCTGGCTTTGCAATACATTGTGAGGTCTCCCCCGTTTGTCTTATTTTGGGTTTAGCGAGTAGGGTGTTGTACACACTTCCATTCTGGAAGGTGCAGAGTTTTGCACGTACGTATGTATGTATGTGTATATATATATATACATATATATACATACATAGAGAGAGAGAGAGAGAGAGATGGAGGGCAAGGCGGGGACACACACCATGGGGGAAACCTCTTACCAGCCCCGGCAACCCCTCCCTCAGAGCCAAGACCTCAGTGGCAAAAACTTGAGTGTCACCTGCTCGCAATGCGCAGACTCGCTGAGCACCTTCCGGAAGGACAAGCCATAGTCCACATTGCTGACAGAGCCCTCGCTGACTTGCTAATGGACAGTGAAGCCGAAAGGCACATCGACATGTGCATAGGCGAACTCCTCGGGCCGAGCCATGGATCGGGGAATGTCCCTGCTCGCAAGCGAACACTCAGTACCAGGCAAGCCATCCTGCACCTCGCAGATGTAGTCAAAGCACAGTTGGCAGCACGGGGGACCACCACCACCGCTGCCGACCTCAGCCCCTGTGTGGATGCTATCGTGAAATGGCTCCAGCGCATCACGGGGGAGACTCTCGCCGAAGGAAGCATGCCCGAGATCATGGCAGTTCTTCGTGAGGCCCTTGCAGCGATAGGCGGGGGGACCGCCACAATGGACCACTGGCGCGGACTCCTGAGTGCGGGGGACAGCCTGCGTTCCCTCTTCGACCTCACCGAAGGCAGAGCGGCCTCCAATCAAGACGGAGAACATGACATGCAACCGGGGGACTATGCCATGGCCCTGGAGCACATCGCCGCCTCCTTTGTGCACTGGGGAGAGGAGGACCAGATGGTCATGCAGGCCAACCTGCTCAACCTGCTCCACACCACCTCCGCTGTTCTGGCACAGACGCGAGACCGTGGGGAACCCGCAACGACACTGGCTAACGAACAAGACACACAGCCGGTGACTGGGGGAAACTCAAGCAATGGGGGAGAATGGTGGCTACAAGACAGGCACCCCGGCCTAGGGGATGCCGCCAGAGCCTCCTCCCTGAGCCCAAGACCGCACAGCGCGGGGGAAGGCGACGCCATGGACACAGATGACGAGGACAAGTCGAATGACTCACACCGTCGGCGCCGACTCCTTGCGGAGCACATCCACGAGTACTTCTGAGCGGGGGGACCACTGAGACCATGTCACGAGGTTGGTCGTAGCCTGCAGCCCAGACAAGGGGGACAGAAGTAGGTGAGCTCTGCCGACCCTCCCCCGATCCCTCTTTAAGCCTCTCGTTTTGAGTTACCTGCCTTTCTACATTGGGGGAGCTCGCTCCTGTGCCCCTCTAGGTAACCTTCCGTAGAGAGACACTACTTCCTTCAAGGTCTGCCCCACCCCACTCGGTTCAGGCAGCTTCTGTGTTTCAGTGCAGGTTGTTTCGGCTGGTTTGCTTGCTTGCTTTGGGGGATCCCGGGGAAACCTTGTACAAATTCAGGCTGCTGCACACTCAGAACAAAGGGGGATGCTGTCATCTCTATTTCGTAGGTTTAGGCTGTTTCCTCTCTTTGACGACAGGCATCTCCCTCCCGTAGCTTCACCCGTAGGGGAAACATGCCAACTTTTGCTGAAGGAGACGGAGGCTCAGGGGAAGCCCGCTACTGACATACCCTGCTTGCCTTGACCCTGGGCTGATGTACTAGTTTGTTTCCCTGACCCAACCCCTTGAGAAAGCCGCCTCCTTACACGTGTCACCCAGTGAAAGATGGCAACGGGGGGAATGAGGTTGAGGTCCGATGTTAATTGGCTGCCTACACTGTATCGAGTGAGTCTGCTGTGCTTTTTCATTTATTTCAATCTCCTGCCATCTCCAACTGCGGGGAGAGATTTACCAATAGGGGGAGCTGCGCCTTCGACAGTCAGTGCTTCTCCAAAACTTTCTTAGGAAATGGAGGCTCGGGGGGATGTGATGTTACGATATGTGATCCTGTGACCTTTCATCCGTATCTTTTTACCGAAAACCGAGCTCCATATCTTCTTGAAAGCCCCCACAAGGGCCCTAACACAGGGGTGCGCCATCCGGCGCGGGGTGCTTGACACGCACCTCATGCCCCGGAGAACAGAACAGAACAGAGAGAGAGAGAGCGAGAGAGAGAGAGACAGGGAGAG